TTTGGAAATGTCTATATCTTTTAGGTTTTTTTCTCTCTGTCTGCCTCTTTTGCTCACAAGACACGAGCTCTATTTATAAAGTTTTCTAGGATTCAAATCCTAGATTTTTTTATACTGAAATTTCAAATTTTCAAAGTTGATATTTTTTTCAAGCCACTTAAGAACTTTGAGGCATCATTGAAGAATTTTGGCTTCATAATTTTTTCTTTTTGCAAAATTAGGTAGTGGTAAAGCAACTTGTATGTGGTGCAATAGATGCACCTATGACCTTCAAGGAAGAAGAAAGAAAAGGAAGAAAAAAAAAAGAAAAAGGAAAAGAAATATAAATAATAATAATAATAAGTTAAATTAGATTCATAATAAGTTTAATCAAATATCTAAATAAATCCAAATAAAAATTGAGAATTGATTAACATTTATTTTTCGAGACAAAATTGGTATCGACATTAAATATAAGTGTTATAAATTTAATTTTGATCTAAAGATTAAAAAAAAAAAGTATGTATCACTTACACTAACGTCAGTTGATCCCTATTCATGGATATCATAAAAAATACTTAAGTATTAATCATTCTTTTTATGGAAATGAATCATGGTATTCAACTTTCATTAATTATTAATAAACTTTAATCCATTGTTATTATGAAGACTTGTATCTAACTTGTGAAGTATTATTCATTTTGATACAAATATTTTCACTATTTTATGCTATAAAAGGTGCATCACAAGTATGAGTTTAAGTTTCTATTTATATATCATAAAAGATCTTTAAAACATTTTGACACGGTATTAAAATGTCACAAACTCACCCGTTAAAACTTGATATTCCTATCAAACTCAATAAAAAAGTGCATAGAATCAAGATCACACCAAATGTTAAGATTCTAAGGTAGTCCTATGGTGTAGTACTTAGCTCTCTCAAGATTCTAAAAGTAGCTCCTATGATATGCACTTGTATGATGTATTATCTATTTTAGCCGAAGGTCTCACAGTTTCATCTAACAAAATGTGTTTCACAAGTATTGATTTAAGTCTTTACTTATATATCATAATAAATACTCAAAATATCTTGATATAAAATTGAGGTATCATAGTTGAATAAATTGTGAACATATATGTATGATAAATTTTAATTTTAGAATTTATAAAAATAATTTAAAATTATGCTTAATATTTAGCAAACTCAAATTACTAAAAAAAATTATCTTCACTTTAATTTTTAAATATATAAATAGCACGTGTGATGCATGCATGTGTCCATCAATTAGTGAAAATAAAAGGAAAAGTAATTTTCATATAGGTGTATTTCAAATTTTTTGGATTAATTACCAGAAAGTTTTCACATTATTTTTCAATGGAAGGAAATTGAAAAGCAATTATACAAATCTTTAAACTATAACAATACAAAGTTTAAATGGAATTTTGATTTGGTTTGAGGCATTGTTAATTGTAAGAAATGGATAAAATAGTATAATAAATCTATGTAGTGGATGAACATTTCAAAATAAAAAAAAATTAAATAAAAATTTAACACTTAAACTATATCATCTGTATCAATTTGATACTTAAAGAATAAAAACTTAAAATAAAAATCTAAATTAAAAACTTCACTTCCTTAAACACATTACCTCATATACAAACCCTGTCACATCAAGAAGATATGATTTAAAATAATTAATAAAACATAATAATGACAAAAAAAGTCAATTTAGTTTATTTTATTAATTTTTTAAAACTAAAACATATTTTAAAAAATATGAGACCAAAAAGAAAAAGAGAGAGAGTGTGAGAGAGAGAGAGAGAAAGGCAAGTCTTTTAATGGAATCAAGGTGAAAAGATTTGACTAAAGGTTAAAGGAGAGGAAGGTGACAATGGTTGATGGTTGATTTGGATGAATTTTAAATTTTGGAGTTCAAAAGTCAAGGTCGAGATTGGGTTAAAAAAGAAAAAATGAAGGAAAAAAAAAGATAAAAAAAGATAAAATAAATAGGAATGAAGCTTTAAAGAGGACATGGGACCATGATATCGAGCTCAGACCTCCTCTCTCCCCCTAAGGACTATACCTTCTTATAGACCAAAAAAATATAAAAAAAAAAAATCAAATTGAACATGACAGCTCATGTAATTAGATAAAGTTAAATCAACTTTCTACTTGATAATTTTTTTTTATAATTAAAGTTATCGAGATTTAATCCTTGATCATTAAAATTAAAAGTTTAATAATCTACTAATACAGCCTAGGATTCTTAATCACATAATAAAAAATTTTATGATGTTAGCACCTTAACGGTGATTTTGTAAAATTTAAGTGTAACAATTAAATTTGATTAAATCTATATAATTAATTTTAACAATGTATGGACACCCCTTAGCCTACCATGTGTTATTCTTTCTTTTTTTTTTTTTTTGTTATTTTGTTTTTCGTTTTTACATTTTAAAAAATATTAAATAAATATTATTTAAAAATATAAAAAATATTTGTTTTGAAAGATTTTTTTATGTGTGGATCCATTTATACCAAACTTTTTTTTATTTTCTTTTTTTACCTTCTTTAACTTTTTTTTTAATTTTAATAAATATTTTTATAATTATAAATAATATATTTTCAAAGTTTTTATTTTTTATGTATGGGCCATAGCCCACAAAGTGTCATCCCTTCATTTTTCATTTTTTTTACTTTTTTTAAAAAATATTGAATAAATATTTTTTTAAAAATATATTTTATAATTTTAAAAGATTTTATTTTCGATCCACTTATAGCAAAACTTTTTCTTTTTTTAAATAATTTTTAATAAATATTTTTAAAAATTATAAATAATATATTTTTAAAGATTTTTTTTATGTGTGGGACTTACTTATACCCAACTCTCTTTTTTACTATTCTTTTTTACCCTTTTTGACTCTTTTCTATTATAAAAAATATTTAATAATTTTTTTAAATAATGAATTATATATTTTTAAATATTTTATTTTTTATGTATGGGATCATACTTATATTATTTTTTTACTTTTGTTTATCTTTTTTAACTCTTTAAATAAAATATTTAGTAAAGATTTTCTTTAGATTTTTTAAAAATTATAAAAAATATATATTTAAAAGATTTTACTTGTTATGTGTAAGACTTGCTTATACCAATTTTTTTTTTACTCTTTCGTTTTTAATCTTTTTGAACTTTTTCCTTTTAAAAAATATTTAATGGATATTTGCTAAAATTATAAAAAAATATATCTTTTCAAATATTATAATTTTATGTACGAGATCCACCTGTAACAAATTTTCTTTTTTGCTATCCTTTTTTACCCATTTTAAATTTTTTCTTTTTTTAAATTATAAATTTTTTTTAAGATTTTATTTTTCATATGTGGATCCACTTATATAAATTTTTTCTTTTCTATTTTTATCTTTTTTTAAATTTTTTTGAAAAATATTTAATAAAGATTTTAGTTAAATTTTATTTTTTTTGAACCCAATTAATACTAATGTTTGTCACATGTTATTTATTTATTTTTGTTTTTTTTTATATTTAATAAATACTTTTTAATTTAGGTTTTTTAGTCCCGCTTAATATCAAGAATATACCATGTTAAGCCATTTTACTTCTTTTTTTTTTGTTTTTCTTTTTTCTGTTTAGTTTTCCTTTTTTGCTTTTTCAAAAATATATAATATTTTTGAAAAAGTAATATTAATTTTTTTCTAATATGGGTCCATCTATGATATAAATTTGATTCATTTTACTCTAAATTTTTTTGCTATATAAATTTCTTTAATATGGGTCCATCTATTATATTTACATTTTCCCCTTTTTTTTTCTTTTTCTTTTACTTTTTATAGATTTTTTTTAGATAAATTTTTGTAAAAAAAAAAATAATATAAGTGCTCACATGATACCTCAATTTGTTTTTTTTTTTCTTTCAATTTTCTATTATATAAATTTTACAACAAAAAAGACAAATTCATAACAATGATAAAATAATGTATTCAATAAATCCCACTCATTTGGAATGTTCATGTAATACTCTAACAACATTTTTTTTATTTTTTTACTTTCATTTTTTCTCATTTTTTTCATTTTTTATCTTTTTAATGAAAGTAATTTTATATATTAAAAAAAAACTATGAATATGTCCATGTGACACCCATTTTGAGTTTTTTAACTTTCATTTCTTTTTTGTATTCTTTAATAAGATAATTTTGCATCGCAAGGTGCCAATTAATGAAGATGTTAAAATAATTCATATCCATGGGTTTCAATTCATCTTAATTCGATAAAAGAGTGATTTTTAAAATCGAGATTTAATTGAGATAAATAGAATTATTTTAAAAAGGTTAGATCAAGTCATAAGTATATTTACGATGCTTTGTTATGACCTTATATATATATATATTTAGTATTTATTATTTATTTAATTTTATACATATATATTATGTTAATAAAATAATTCTTTTGACCTTAATTTAAAAAGTTTTTATTTTAAGTTCAATATTAGATGCCAATGTAACACCTTCTACTACTATTTTTTTAACTCGTTTTTAGTAAATCTTTCACTTATCTTTTTTACACTTTTTTTGTTTTTCATTTTTTTTATTAGGTTTATAAAAAAGTAGGTCAATTAAGATATATACATCTCATCCCTAATTGTTTTTTCTTTTCTTTTATTTTTTAATTTGATAATTTTTTGCAACAAAAAAACGGTGAATAAATATGACCAAACAAAAAAATTTTATTCATAATTAAATCAAACAATTCAAAACATGTCGTAATGACATCATATGAATATGATATGAAAAAAATTAAAAATAACATGTTAAATTTTAAAAAATGTATATATGTATTATCATAAACAAAAAATGTATTTCATTTTTTATATAAATTATAATACATAACTTTTATATAAAATAAAATATAAATATAAAAATTTTTATTATTTTATAAAATATAAAATATAAAATTATTAAATATACCCGTATAAAAATTAAATTTTTAGTTTTGGATGAGCAAGGGACCAACTTCGTAATTTGACCTAAAAATGCAAGGAAATGATATCAAAAATTCCAAGAAAAGCGATGGCGAGTTTCTCCATCAGCAGCACCGTCAGATCACTCTCACCCTCTCTCGCTCTTTATCCCCCAATCGCACATGCATCCTTCAGATTTCTGCACGTGCCGACTCCTGCGGCTGTTGCATTCTCCAGCCACCTATCTCACCGGAAAAAGAGAGGGATGGCGGTGGTGACACGTGTAGGTGCCAACACCAGTAGTTACGTGTTCGCGGTGGTGTTTCCGCTGTCTCTCCTGGCCGTTACCATCTTCACTTCTATCAAGATTGCTGATAAGCTTGACAGAGACTTCCTCGAATTTGTAAGAATCTAAAAATCTTGTTTTTTCCTCCTTATCATGTAGGTTTTTATGGGATTTTTGAATTCTCCAATATTTCGAGTTGGGTGCTTAATTTTTTGGAAATTTTGCGTTTTGCTTAATGTGGAGGGCTTATTTGGACCGCACAAAATTCTGGTCTTTTTGAATCTGTTTTATAGGTTATGGGGATTGGAAATTCTAGGGGTATGTAATTTTAATGCCCATTGGGTGTTTGATAAAAATGCCAGATGGTTTTGTTCAATATTTACTGGTAGTCACAATTTATGCTTTGAATAATGTTCCCTTTTCTGCTTTTCTTGTTATAAGTATTTACTCTACTCGTAGTATTATTCGTAATCTTGTATTTCATGTTCTTGTGGTGCAGCTTACTATTAATCAAGCAATAAGGGAAGCAGAGGAAGAGGGTGAGCAGGGAAGGCAAAAAAACCCGGACCCGACGGGTTCCGGTCCGACCCAATTTTTTAGGGTCGGTTTTTTCTTTTGAAAATCGGGGGTCGGGTCGGGGTCGGGTCGGGTAGGATGAAGATAAAGTCGGGGTCGGGTCGGGGTCGGGTTTTAGGCAAACCCGACCCTACCCGACCCGATATATATATAAATAATTTTTTTAATTAATTTTTTAATTTTTTAATTATATATATTTATATAATGATATTTTTAAATATTTTATATTTAAAAATTAATATTTTATATTTAAAAAAATAATATTTTATTAATTTCGGTTCGGGTCGGGTACGGGTACGGGTTATATAGGGTCGGGTCGGGGTCGGGCTCGGGTATGAAAAAACAAAAAAATTTTCGGGTAGGGTCGGGTTCGGGTTTTTTAAGCATTATGTCGGGTCGGGTTCGGGGCAAGCAAAACCCGCCCCGAACCCGACCCGATGCCAACCCTAAGGGTGAGGGTGATGGTGATGATGTTGACGTTATTTCTTTGGAGGAAATAGTGCAAGAACCTGTGCTTCCACGTACTCGAAACCGGCCCAAGAGGGAAGTGTAGGCAGCCAGCATTTTCAGAGCGTAGATAAACTCATAGAAAGATCCATCGGGAAGAATGAAAATTTGCTTTCTGAAAAAAAAAAAAATAGAACTGTAAGAAATGAACCTTTATATTATTTGCAGAAATAATCATTAATCACGGGTTTTAGGAATACAGGCAATGGGCTTATAATTGGACGGAGCTCAGATTGTGAGCAATCATTTCCTAACCCTGGCTGCACACAAGATGAATGTAGTAATCTTTGCATTGAGCGTTTTGGGAAAACTGGTAAATTTGGAACTCCAGTTTATGGGGTTTGCTTAGCTACCGTCAATGTTAAAGCCTATATAAATAAATATATATATATATATATATATATATAAAACTTTGTTTCGTGAATTAGTAGTTCATTTATTCATATATGACGGGCTCCCAAACTCTCCCTATTGAAGCTGCATTGCATTGCTTAAACCAGATCCTGAGCCAGAGGAATGGTAAAACCCGAAACAATTATATGCTTGCATGGAATTATCTTTTATTTTCTTGCTTCGGTCATCTCTACTTGCTTTTGGGCGTTTCTCTCCTATTGACAAGAAGGAGAATGTTAATATCATTTCTATTAATTATGGATGCATAAGAAATCTATTGTAAATTTCCAAGACAATGGACGACATATAGGATTCCTACCAGAGATGTTCCAACCTTCCAATGCTAGAGTTTCAGTATTATCTGATTTGTCAATTGGCTAGTTAATTTCTTAGGTCATGTTGACTCCAGGGAAAGTTTGTGTCCACATGATTACTGGATGAAGCATAGTAGCATTTCTAGAAAACAAATTAAGGAATTCACGATATGGAATACATATAAAACAAAGTGGAAAGGATTCAATAGTAGAACAGAGGAGAACTGGTATGGATAAGCTTACTCAAAAATTAATTCCCTCATCAATGAACATGAAATTTTATGAGATTATGAAGTGACTCAAAGTCTCCCGTCAAATTTCTGCAAATAAGAATGCCTAAAATATCATGGACTATATAAGGCAGCAGCCCAAGGACACGAATCAGATATACTTAAATTTTAAAAGTAAATACAGAAAGTATAAGGGCAATTAAACAAGCAAACAAACAAAGAGAAACCCTAGGAGTCAACGTGAAATTAGCTCTGACTTTTCGTTGGAACACTATGAGATTGCAGAGAAAGAAAAACTTAATATTCTTTACAGAGAGAAGAACAAGAAAAAGGAGGAAACAAGCACACTCGAGAATTGCGTAACAATCTTAATCATACCGTCTACAGTCTAAATCCCCAGGCTGACATTGAATATAGAGGTCTTTCTTGCCAGCACATAAACAAACACCCATTCTCTTCTTTTATCTTATAACCATCATAGTTATTGGTCTGCAACAATCTTCCTGCCTGCAACATGCCATGGTAGCTTAAAGGCACCCTTCCAAAGCCGGCTAACTCAAGTCTCAGAATCCATTTCTCAAGCTTTTCATGCCTCTGCTTTCTCTCAAGACCCTCACATGCTATAATATTCTTAATTTCCTCTCCAAAAAGCATCTTCTCTACCTTTTGTCGCTCTAGAGGTGCTCTTGATACTGTAGACTCTAAGCAATCAAAGAGTGCAGCATAGAAATTTAATGCTTCCATTACCCTCTCCATTAAAGTAGGGCCATTATGGTTGGACTCCTGCTCGGTTACAACTATCAGTTTTGGTGACAGTGCCCGAAGAGCAGTTAGAAAGCTCCCCATTTTCGGTGCTGGAGCTAGGGAAAGCGGAGATGATGGTGATGGTGTTGTCAAGTCAGAACTTGGGCTATATATATGGACTGGTTCTTTGTCAAGCCATTCTCCTAAAATACGTTGGTTCATCTGCAAGACTCTGTGTGATCGATTAGTATTGAGGTTCTTAGACATGGATGGGGTGTTGATGTTCCTTCTAAGCATTTCATCATCAGTGGCTAGGAGAGTATGCAGCTGAAGGACAGAACTGACTACAAGAGCTTCTCCAGTCTTGACGCGCAAACTTTCTAGATCAAGATTCTCTAACTTGCATACTATTGGGATAAACTGAAATGGAATGTCCAATTTTTCAGCTTCCTCTGTCAACCGAAGGGCCATTTGGTCTAACACCTCTTTCTGTTCATGTATGCCTGTAATTCTCAGATGGGGTGGCCCTTCTGGTCTAGCACTAAATGTTTGAAAAAGATTGATCCACTGTGCGGGCTCAGAGGAATTGAGATCTATAATATGAACCATTTTCTCCCCCTCCATACCTTCTACAATGGCTTGATTTGTGATAACGTACGCAAGCTTTAAGAAGGGGCATAGCTCAAAGAACAATTTTTGAACATGAATTTCCTCTGTTACTGATGATATTTTTGTGGAATTGAGGGCTTTGTGAAGACCCGGCCATGCTTTAAGCATCCTGTCAGCAAAGGCCTCGGTGAAGTAAGCAGCAATTCTTTGCATGGTATCTCCATCAGGAGAGGCAAGGTGGGATATTTGCTCTAGTCCAATATTGGCATTCTCAAGACTACCGGCTGCGACATGGTTTGCACATGCAACAAGAAGATGGATCAGACATAAACCCCTCTCCTCAGATTTGAGTTCCTGGAGCCACGGGAACGGGGATCCTAAACCAGGAGATAGTGGCATCCAGGGGAAGACCTGAAGTGGTGATGGAGTCACAGAAGATGGTCCCTCTTGAATCATTCCTTCCATTAACAGTCAGAGCAGTCTAAGCCCCCCCAGAAAAAATAAAATTCCTGTATATTATTCAGCGAACAGCATATGCCTAAATCATTTGACGCCAAATCAATCAAAATGGAGAGATATTGTGAAACTTCATTCTTTCTGTTCTTTATATCGTCTCCTTGTTAAAAAAAAAAAAACAAGAAGTGAAAAGAAAGAAGTCAATTAAACTTCCTGTTACTCTCAATCACAAAATTAAGCTGCAATCCTAGTTTTATTTTCTTGACTGCAAACTACTCGACAAGAAGGCAGGAAATTTCACGTTCATCTTTAGACAAAAATCATAAAGTAAGCTCAAGTGCTATGCTTGTCAATAAGACATTGTTAAAGTTCTCCATCCGTTTCCTACGTTTTCTCAGCAATCAAATGGAGACTGAAGAAAACTTCTATTAGAGAAAAAAAAAAAAGGATAATCCATATTTTGATAAATAACAGAATCTCTACCTGATTAAGCAGCAAAAATCACGAAACAGGTAAAGGTTATTACCAGTAAAAGTACAGCAAATTCACCTGAGCAAGACTGATCAAACGGACCAATAAATTAAAATTCCCAACTGGGTTTTGAAATTCATCAAACTCCTGGAAGACCCCTTAAGAAAATTGGAAAACTTGGTCACTCAAAATCTCTTTATCCATGGACCATCAGAGCTGTTTCATCACCAAAAGCAGGTTTGATTGGTGGTTTATGGTTTTGTTGGAAAGTGAGTCAATTGGAATTAAAGCTCTTGTCTTGAAGGACTTTTCCGGTGCTTCTTTGGCAACAAGAAGTTGTTTCCGTCCTTATTGTTTTGTTTGTCTTTTCGAGGGTTGAGAAGAATATGGAATTTCTTGAAATACATAAAGATAGAGCCCGCTCTGTTTCTACTTGCTCCTTCTCTCGATCCACGGTTTCTCTTTCTACGAATGTTTTTGTCACTATATCTCTTACTAGGAATAAAGAAAGAAATCCGCCTTGGTTTCATTCTATTTCGCTCACTAACTTTGATTTGTTTTGTCAGTATGTGAACCGGCCAAATTTGGTATTATGGTCAAACACAACACAAAGCCAAACATGCCCCACCGAAACAAAACAACACCCTTGCTTGTTGCCTAGTGGGTGATAGTGGAGATTGCAAGAAGCCTTTTCATGTGCCTCCAAGTCAACTATTTGTTCTCTTTTCAAAGCCAAAGACCATCCACTTAGGGCTTTCTTCTAGCTTTAAGACAGAGAGACAAGCAAGTTTCAAGAAAAGACAAAAGTTAGATAGAAGATTTAACTTTAGTGATGGTGTGGTCTCTGGTGGTGGGAGATTAGTTTGGAATATCTTTGCCTCTTTCCTTGTTTTCTTCAAAATGCTAGAATCGTTCTTTTTAGCATGTAATGAAGATCCAAATTATGCCTCGTAATCATGGCTTAGTGATTTACGACATCATTTACTTGATTAGCGGAATCTTATTAGTGGGAAATGTGATGCTCACTTACCTCCATTTTGATTGCTCTACTTTGTTCTTATATCTTTTGTCCATTGTTTGTGGTCTTAGTTATGACAGCAGTGTTAGTGGCAAGCAATTTTATGTCTTTGCTCTTTTCAACTTATACATGCTCCAAATCAAGAGTAAGAAAGTTGGTAAATCTTTTGAATTATGTACTATCTAAAATAAATGATCTCACATCACTTTAAAGAGATGATTTGCTACAAGAAAACAAGCAAAGGCAATTGCCCAATTTGCAAAAAAAAAAGAAGAAGGTCTAAATCCTTTAACTGGATGGCGATGCAATGACACAAGGGGTTTGGTAGCGACTTGAGCTTTAATTTTAACAATGCTAAATGAAATGACAATTTGATGCACGTAATTTACTACATAATGCAAAACTAGCCTTCTTTATGACTTGTTCCTGCACCCTTTATTTAGTTCATTTTCCCAAGAGAAATACAATATAGAACCTGTAAATTTTATATAAGTAGAGTAGGCCTATTAAATTTTCTATCATGTAACATCATTGATACCAATACGGACATTAAAACATCACACTTTCAGCATCAGACATAAATAAACGTGTACAGCATTAACTTTTTTGTCCGAGATGTTAGATTAGCATGCTGTAATTAACATAGTATACATTGGTATAAACTAGAAAATGGAGGTACCCAACTTGTTTCTTTTTGTTTGTATTCTGCCAACACAGTTGCTTATTTTTTTGCTTTGTGTTGAAGATCTAAAAGGAGAAAAATTAACAACGATTTGAAGGTACACAATGCATCCCTCTGCTCTGCCCCTTCTACATATAGCTCTAGAGAAATGTAGAGAATGAATCAGCTATTGCGTCGAACCTTCATCAGCCAAAATATAAGTAGACAACTCCAACTATAGTGTCATATACTTACATATATATATATATATATATATACACACACTCATGTTTGGTACGTGTGAAGCGCACGTGTAATTTTTATCTCTAAAAATTCATTTTAATAAATAATTTTTATATTATAATAATAATAATAAATATTAATAATTAATTTTATTTTAATATAATATCAGTAAATTTTAATAATTTTTTTATATAATTTTGATTTTTGATAGCCTTTGTTAAAATTTTGGTAACTTATGATATAATTTTAGTAATTATTAATGCAATTTTAGTAATTTTTGATAAAATTTTAGTAACCTCTTTATTTAATTTTAGTAATTTTTTGATAACTTATGATATATTTTTAATAATTACTGATAAAATTTGTATTATCATATATTTAACTATGGATTCCTATAGAAAAACGCAGGTTCAGTTTTAATATAAGACAATTTTTTTTTATACAATAACATTATTGTTTCATTTAAATTTAGAATTTTTGTTCACTAAATTTTTTTATTGAATAAATTTATGGTAAGTTTATCTTAATCTTCCTAAATAAAATTTCTAGCTCTATTTTTGCTAGTAACTAAAATTCAATTCCTAACAACTTTAAGTTTAAAAAAATTTATCAATGATTGATAATTAAATTATCATTGATTTACTATTATGTTATCAGTGATTTACTACTAAGCTTTCAATAATATATTGCTAAATTATCAATGATTTATTATTAAATTAGCATTGATTTACTACTAATTTATGAATGATTTACTAGTAAGTTATAACTGATTTACTACTAAAGTGTTGATAATTTATTACTAAGTTACTAATAATTTGTTATAAAGTTATAACTAATTTACTATTAATTGATAATTTACTATAAAGTTATCAATAATTAACTAATTTGCTACTAAATTCTCACTTACTTACAACTTAATTAGTAGTAATTTACTATTAAATTATCAACAATTTACATCTAAATTATCAATGATTTACTATTATGTTATTATGTATTTATTATTATGTTATCATTGATTTACTACTTAATTTTCGATTATTTACTACAAAATTATCATAGATTTATTACTAAATTAATCATGATTCATTGTTAAGTTATCATTTATTTATAGTAAATTATCCCTAATTTGCTATTAAATTATTATTGATTAACTATTAAGTTATATTGATTTATTTTTAAGTTTCAAATGATTAATTATTAAATTATCATTGATTTACTATTAATTTATTTATGATTTACTACTAAATTTATCAATTAATTATTATTAAATGGAAACTGATTTATTATTAAATTATCATTAATTTACTATTAAGTTATCATCGATTTATTATTAATTTATCAATTATTAACAAAATAAGTTATCACTTATTTGTTATTAAATTATTTTTAATCTACTAATATGTTGTTATGTATTTACAACTATGAAATATAAAATTGAAAAGGCCACTAATAATATACGAAATAATTTTCTTTTTATGTAATAACATTATTATTTTATTCAAGTTTATAATATTTTTTCACTAATTTTTTATTAAATATGTTCATGGAAGGTTCATTCTAATTCCTAAAATTAAAGTTTTGACTTCATTTCTAACCAGGATTTAATCCCTAGTAACTTAAAATATAATAAAAGTTATCAATGATTGACAATTAAGTTATTAATTATTTATTACTAAGCTATCAATGATGCATTACTAATTTATGAATGATTTGACATTAAATTATGAATGATTTACCGATCATTGTTGGTAATTTATCATTAAGTTGTTGATGATTTATTATAAAGTTATAACTGATTTACTATTAATTTATCAATGATTTACTAAAAAGTTATCAATGATTAACTAATTTACTTTTAAATTATTACGATTTATAACTAAGTTATTGGTAATTTACTATTATGTTATTAGTGATTTACTCCTAAATTATCAATTATTTACTATTATATTTTTATATATTTATTATATTATCATTGATTTACTACTTATTTTTTAATTATTTATCACAAAATTATCATTGATTTACCCCTAAATTATCTATTATTCACTATCAAGTTTGTACTATTTTATATTAAATTATGCATGATTTACTATTAAATTATCAATGATTAACTATTCTATTATCGATGATTTACTATTAAGTTCTATTAATTTATTTTAAGTTTTCAATGAACAACTACTAAATTATCAATTATTTAATATTAATTTATAATTGATTTACTACTAAGTTATTTATTATTTACTACGATCAATTACTTATTATTAAACTGAAACTGATTTATTATTAAATTATTACTCATTTACTATTAAGTTATTATTGATTTATTACTAAGTGATCAATAATTAACTACTAAATTATCACTTATTTTTTGTTAAGTAATCTTTGATTTAGTACTATACTGTTATGCGTTTATAATTGTGTTATAATTAATTTACAATTAAAGTACTATGCATTTATTATTGTATTATTATAGATTTACTAAAAAGTTATCAACTATTGACTATTAAATTATCATTCATTTACTGTTAAATTATTCCTAATTTACTATTAAGTTATTGATAATGACTATTAAATTATACTAATTATATTTAACTTTTTAATGATTAATTACTAAGTTATTAATTATCCATTACTGTGTTATCATTGATATACATTTATATATATATATATATAGAATAATTACAATGTATACTAGATGATGTAATTTGTAAGGTAGAGAAAGAAAGAAAAAAAAAGTTCAATATACTAATACATGTAATAATAAGTTATGCAAATATTAAAACTAACATTATTAACATGTAATAATAAGTTAAAATCATAACTTTTTATACTAATATAAATATTAAAACTAAATTAAATAAATATATAGAATATATATTAAGTCAACATTTCTAAGATATTATTCAATTTTTTTATTTCATGATAAAATATTACATATTAATATTAGCTTTATTAATGATATGATTCAATTATTAGTGTATATGTTTTTATAGCTATTAGTGAAGTACAATTGCATATAAAAGATTAAAAATTTTGAAGTATTTTGTTACTAATGGAAGTAATAAATAACCTTTTTAATATTTTGATGCCAATCAATTTCTCCATTTGAAAAGAGTAAATAATTTGTATAGGGTCATAACAACTCAATTAATGTTTAACTTTATATTATCTTTCTAAATGAGTATAAACTATGTTATCTCTTTCAAATGAAACATTTGAATTATTTCCCTCAACTCATACAATAGCAATTTGATCAACAAATTAACAATTATAAACTCGTTGATCTATATTAATATTTTTGTAATATGAATTTCAAAATTCTAAAAAGAAGATTATTTTTTAATCTCTACAAGACTCGGACATAAGGATTTTTTTTAGAAATATTATTAGTATTTCCATAATTTTTGCATTTAAATTTTCATTGTGTTGTATTCTTATTCTATTTTTATATTTATTATCAGTGTCATAAAAGTATAGTTAAAATAACTCGGATTAGTCAACTCAAAGTTAAAACAATTCAAAACTCAAATTGACTATAAATAAATTTTTTACTCATTTTAAATTTTAATTTAATTAAAAATAATATAATACACATAATTATAAAAATGAACTAACTTAGATCTATTTCA